TTCGTTGACGTATATGCTAAACAAATCGTTCTCTGCTGTCCCTGATGAATGGAAACATGCGGATATTACACCTCTACACAAGAAGGGTCCTAAGTCTTCGAGAGAAAACTACCCTTGTCAGATCGGTGAAAAAATTGTTTTCGACAGGATGTTTGATTTCTGGCGTGAAATTGACCTTATTAACAACAATCAATACGGCTTTTTGCGAGGAAGATCTACCGCAACTCAATTATTATCAAGCTTTTAGTTATTCTTACGGAACCTAACCGAAAGCAAAGAAAAAACCAGTGACGAAGGCGTGAACAGGACGTTGTCACAAATCAGTCACTGTTAAAAATAGAGCTTATGTTTCTAAGAACTGCAGGAGTCCTTTCGGTCCCTGTGTATCAATGTTCAGTGATTTTTCTTGGAAACAGTCATTGAAAGTTGACACAGTTAAATATTGTATTTCACCAACAAGTTTGTGAATTGTATTTCACCAACAAGGTTGTTCTGATTGGCCTTCTAAATTAAACAAGCAACCTTAATGGTTGAACTTCCCTTCCTAATCATGGCAAATTTTATAAGCTCTATAAACCATTGCACGAAAAATCACAAGACTACCTTAGAACATCGCTTTCACCACAAATAACTCTAAGACTTACTTCGTTTTTTTAGTCGCTGAATTTGTTTCTGTAGGCCAGAAACCTCTTTGGACTTTAACAAATATTCATCTTTTTTTCTGGCCAAGAGTAACTCTTTTTCTGGCCAGTTCCCCGATCGGAAAGCGATCCCGCTGTGAACCGTTCGATGAACATCTTGGCTTTTTCCTGCTCTTGCTTCCCATGGAGTGTTCCGGGAGTGTCGAAACACAGGTAGACAAAAGATGATCTTGCGCAAAATCTACGGCCTCCGGTAACGAACCGAAACGATAGAAACACAGTTCAGATCATATTCCTTCATTTTGGCTAGACAGAACAATAAAACACATTCTCTTTCTCTTTGAAAATTTGCTTCAAAAAACCTTTTATTCTGTTGATAGTGTTACATTCCTCTAACGAAGGACAAGACAAGTTTTAGAAGCGAGAAATATGATCGATGAGCAATTCTAACCACGGCAAGCTGTATATCAAAATAATAATAATAATAATAATAAAGGTCTTTATTAAGAATTATTGTGCAAACAGACGTGCTACAATTAACATGAATAACATGAATAAAATGAATAAGGAAAAAGAAAAGGTATTAATTACTATTGAAGAGACATCTATTGATAAAAACTGATTTAAAACGGCTTGTCTGGACCTTAGGCAAAATATAATTATGCGACCTAGTTCTCAACTGCCGTGTTCTCTGGGGAGGTAAGAGATCGCTCAACGCAGTGTTGGTGGAAGAGATCCTTTGCCATAATTTCTTATCTCTATTACAACGGATATCCAAGATACTG